TGAATGTATTGTCTATAGTCTGCACTCTTCTTTTCTCAATATTCCACAATCACTTCGCCATGGAATGCAACTGATATGCTTGAAAGATCTTGACAGTGAAGCCCCTGTCTTGAAATCTGAATTCTGTATCAGGGGTTTGGAAGGCAGGTTTGCGTTTTGTTTTTGGCACCTCCTAGCCGAGATTTTTGGAGCAATTTCCTTGTGCTCGTTTTGAAAGGGTAGGTTAAAGGAAAATTATTTATCTGCTGTTACTGGGCGGGGGGTAGATCGAAAGTATGATGTAGGTGAGGTAGATGATATGATGTAGATGATATGAAGAAGGTAGGAGAGACTAATGTAGGTGATGTTATGTAAATGAATTTGGCAGTCGTTCTTCGGGAAAAACCCTTCGCAGGAGCTTTCGGGAACTACGACAAAAATTTACCTAAATTTTCGGCGACGTCAAAGCTAGTAAATCAACAACATTGACGCATTTTTTTTGAGCTCTCTACTAGCCCCAAGGCTGTGCTATTTAATTGATTGTGTTTTAAACACAAAGGCCACAAAGGCTTCACAGAGGAAGCGCCAAATCTCCAACTCCAACTTAAGAGACGCCGGAGACTTATGAAGTTATAACATAAGTTACAATTAAGTTATCTTGAGTGGTTCCTAAGTCCTCTTGTAACTTTTATAACTTTTATAACTTCATACGTCTCCGGCGACGCTTCAGAACTACTCTGCCGTTAGAGATATGGAAAATTTGAATGCGGCGAAGCAGCGCCTCAGACCCAGCAGGAAGCATGAGCACAGGGCTTCACAGAGGAAGCGCCAAATCTCCAACTCCAACTTAAGAGACGCCGGAGACTTATGAAGTTATAACATAAGTTACAATTAAGTTATCTTGAGTGGTTCCTAAGTCCTCTTGTAACTGTTATAACTTTTATAACTTCATAAGTCTCCGGCGACGCTTCAGAACTACTCTGCCGTTAGAGATATGGAAAATTTGAATGCGGCGAAGCAGCGCCTCAGACCCAGCAGGAAGCATGAGCACAGGTTGGCTGTGCTATTTAATTGATTGTGTTTTAAACACAAAGGCCACAAAGGCTTCACAGAGGAAGCGCCAAATCTCCAACTCCAACTACTCTGCCGTTAGAGATATGGAAAATTTGAATGCGGCGAAGCAGCGCCTCAGACCCAGCAGGAAGCACGAGCACAGGATGGGCCAAGCTCTGGAGCATCTTCAGCTTCTTCAGAAACCTCAGCCTCTTCACGCTCTTCAGAAATGCGACGGCGGCTTGTCCCAACTCTCTGTTGCGAAGATGATCCAAAGTTCCTGCGGGAGACTTGCAGTAACATAGCATCTGCTAGGACTTCAGTCACAACGTCGACAGCATGAAGGTCGTAGACAGTGAGGTTGTCCAGGCTACGAACCCATTCATGCTGTTGATCCTCTGCCGCTGCGCTGATACAGTGGGAGATCTCAATGAGTTTGTCCAATACCTTCTCATTCGTAGCACATCTTCCCAGGTTCAAGATCAGGTCACTGTGGCTTCCTATGACTTGCCGCTGGAAAAGACTCCAGACGCAAGTGCAAAGCATGAGCAAAAGAATGCCGGCGATGCTTGACGAAAGAAGTGTAGCTAAAATCTCGAAGGCTTCCATTTCCACACCCCCGTCGTCATTTTGGAGTCCCAAACACACGAACAACAAGAGCACAAAAATCCCAGTCGAGAGAGAGTCCACGAGATTTAGTATCGGAGCTTTCCACGGCTGAAGCCACATTTGGACGCCAAGATAGGTCAGGAGTATGCTCCCCATCATTGTCAAGCTAAAGCGGGGCATGTCTGGGACGACAACACCACATAGGGGCAGGACGCCGCCTCGAACGAGCAAGACCAAGCCAAACCACCAAACCTGCGGTCTGAAGCGGAAGATCAAGAAGCGAATCGCCGGTAGTTTCTTGGACCAAGTTGGTGCCCTTGCTGCAGCATAGAAGCAGGCACTGAGGAAAATCATCAGCACGACCATCAAAGAAATTCCAAAAGCTTCCATGTGTGGACTCTCACCACAAAGGACGTTTGAATGCTGTGCCACGCTGTACTGCCCTGTGGGATGCCTGTAGCACACGAAAGGCACCCTGCTAAGAGCGGCCAAGGTCGTGAACCCAAGTTGGAAGATTGTTCCCATGACTGAAATTGTCTTCAACGGATCCCAAGCCAGACCACAGCGCTTAAGGAAGATATTGGACAAAACCCACGCGGCTGGTAGCATCAAGGCCACAACGTAAACGAACGAGATCTGCAATCCATACTGCCATACGTCAGTACCTACTAGACAGGCGGTGCCAGGGGCCTCCAGGTTCAAGAATACACTTGCGACTTCGAACAACTTGCTGAGAAATGGAGGCCAGTCCATTCTAATGCTGTTCACGACGCCCAAGTTCTGGAAAAAGGACACCATTATGGCAATGCTGACACCAGTACACATGAGCACACTTGCTTTGGCACTGAGGCTAGATGTGATCGCATAGTAGGAAAGGACAACTCCAATAGCAAGGGCTGCAGCTCCAAGAGCCCATGATACCACCGTTGCTGAGGTACAGGCCTCGCACTTCGAAGCCCAGTACTCCCCATTTGGGCAGGCACCACAGGTAATACCAACCCGACCTCCAGCGCAACTGCCAGGGGGACCACCGGGGCAGAATTTCTCAGAGACACACTTGTGGACTTGCAGTGGAGTTGCAGGATCACTGTGGAATCCCTCTATGATCCTCAAAGCATTGGTTTCGTGGGCCTTTGACAAGAGAGCGACAGTACTACCAACTGGGCAATTCACGCCCAGCGGGCATTCCAGGCACGCTCCATCTTCCTCAATCTGTCCTTCGTTGCAAACACAATCCATGTAAGAAACCCCACCGAGCAACTGGGTAGTCCGGAGACCACACGAGATGCATAGAGTCTGACCGGTACTGTTTTGATAAGACCCTACACTACAGGGCAAACACGCTTCACTTCCGTAGCTGTTGGTCACAGTTCCCTTCCGGCATGGTTCGCATGTAGTGGAGAACGGGTTTTCTTGAGAAAACCCTGGTGGGCATGGAGTGCAGACAAATGTCTCTCCGTCAGCATCCGACATTGGTGTGGATTTGCTGCCAGCAGGACAATGAGTGCAGCCAACTGCTTGGCTGATGTTTTGAACCAGCAGTCCAGAACCATCAACCAAACCGAAGCCCACGGCGCACGAAGTTTTTGAAGCAATCCAATCCCTCCATGCAGCTGGATTCTGCTGGAGCCAGGTACATGCTGTAGTCCAAGCGTCCTCACCTGATAACACATGTGACCGCAGCAAACCATTTATCCCCTCAATGGAGAACTCTAACCTCTCCGCCACCAGAAAGGCATACCTGGCTGCGGTTTGCAATCCACGAGATGCCCATTTGGACAATACCACTTTGCTGTTCATTGTCTTGTAGACTTTCTCTGCATACTGTTCGCGGCTATGGTCTGGAAAAATGACTGGTGAAGGGCTGTCAAGTATGAAGGCGGTGTCTGGCACCCATGTGTACAACAAGCTCTGCAATTCGCGGTTCAAACTCGCAAACTCAACGTCAATGGCACTGGCAAACGCCAAAGGCATGCCGTGCCAAAATGCTTGTTGCATCATCTCTGGCATGCCCCAACCCGTAAAGGGCATAATGACTGGCACGCACTTTGACATGTCACTGCGGCATGCTGGCGCAAGCCACCATTTATTCTGCCAGCAGCTCAAGGTCTTGCCGCTTGGAGCTTCCAGAACACCTTCATCATCTCCAGTAATTTTCAAGTACAAGTCTGCGATCCCGGGATAGCCCAGTTCGATGCTGTCGCAGCCCTTCAATAGAGCCAGGTCCACTTCTGATACCTTGGCTGTGTACTGCGATGGATCAAAGAAAGCAAGATTGTAAGAGCGATAGAAGTCCAGAGACAAACCACTGTCTTGTAGACCCGCGTGCAAGGATCCATTGAGAACAAACATTCCGCTCTTCCCTTCATATCCAATGGATCCCAGGTTGATAGGAGCTCCGTATGGTTCCAACTCTGTGAGCCATTGCTGAGTCCATGGAGAGTCAGTAAGCCAGTTCTCGAACGACACGTGGAATCGGCGAGGAGGACCACAATCTCCGACAATCTCAAAGCCTTGGTGGGCACAGCCTGCAAGCTTGCCAAGAATCAATTCGCTGGCAGGGCCTGTAGCAAATTCCACGTGGAGTCCAAGCACTTCCGAAGCAATGATTCCATACATCTGTGATATGATCACCGAGGAATCCCAAGCATTTTGCCAAATTCCTAGTGGCATGCTAACCCCATCCATGGTGATATTGATTCGCTCAGCGGCAGGTATTGCATCCCGTAAGCACGACACAGAACTTGCAGTACCCACTCCAAGGCTCAAAGCAACCAGAAGAATTTCCAAGATGGGATTCATTGCCTCACTACACGGGCAGAGATTGACCCACATCAGCTGCAGGTCAAAACGAGGACAAGGAACCATGGCTGACTCGAACTGCTGCCAAAGGGAAAAAAACACATCGTTGTGGCGGGCAAGCTTGGAGGGTTTACTCGTGCTCTGCACTTCTTTTCGGTTTCAGTCTGCTTCTTGCAGCGTTGCCCAAGCGTTGCTCCCTGGTCTTCAGAGAGCTCCACTTGGCTCTGGCCCTCACCTCCGGCAGGGAGCAAAGCTCAAAGAACATCTAGTTCGATTTCAAGCGGACTGCAATCTTAGCAGTCCAAAATCAGTTGGTCTGAGATTACAGCAGGCAATAAGCCAACGTAGAATCCCAACATCGGTTGTGGCAACACAAAATGTGGTGAACATTGTCTGGCATACGTAACTGATGCGTCATGCGTCATACCCAGGGCGTAAGCCATGCGTAGCGGGTGACCTACACGTTACAGTTGCCAATCCTACAGTAACTTCGAAGAACTTCGAATAACTTCAAAAAACTGCAAATTATTCGAATCACTTTGAATAGCTGGGGAAATCTATTCGATCCATCGTCGGATTTCAATATGTCGTGCTGCAGCGCATGGGACGCCACTCGAGATCAGCGAGCCGCCCTTCGACGAGGCTGCAGCCGCTTTGGCCTCCTGCAGGACCTACCGGTCATCACTGCTGAGGAGAGTGCAAGTGCAACAAGGCATCGCTGAAAGGTCATCACTGTTCACTAGGTGTTCACACTATTTAGTATATCACTATGGCACTAGCTGCTGAGAGGATGTCAGAACTTGAACATCTGAAGCTGCAACAAAAGTCACAGCCAACTCAGATATCAGTCTGGGTACTGTCAAAGTTTGTCCTGGAGTCCATTGAATCTCAACTCTCATTTTCCATTCCGTCTCCCATGACCTTGTCATAAATCTGCCCACGATCAAACATGCCTGTGAACGTCTTGACATCCTCAGAGCTGGATGTCATTGCCCGCAACTGCCATGACTGAAAGACTCCGACCGATCAAAATTTTCAATCTTCGAAAAAAATGAAGATTCCAGAACATTTTTGCCGACGCCGCGGAATGGCTGAAGGTGCCATGAGAAGTGCCAAAAATCAGTCCTTCTCTCGCTGCACGCTGCGCTCTGAACGAAGCCTGTGGCTTTAGTAAATGTAGAAAACCAACAAAACAACCAGCATGGTGCAGTTGATTTCTCTTGAGTGACCTTGATTATCTTGAAGGGGCACAGGAATGCACAGGAGACACTACATATAAATCTGATCTTCAAAATCCTGATCTCAAAGTACTTTTCTTAACCATTTTTGTGGGTTTTCACCCCTTCTACCTGGCCCTGAAATAATCTTATCCTTGCTGAAACACATTTCCGTCATGGCTGTGGACATGCAATGGTCATCCAAGCCTTACGAGGAGGTGCTCCACAGTTTGGTTCGACGGATCCGGGCGATTCTCTTGGGCTAATTCCTGTTGCCAAGTTGAAGGTTCGGAACATACTCCCAAAACACAAATGGATATATTTCCTAGAGATACACATATTATATATATACACGCATTAAGAATGATCAAAATATGTGAGTTGAATTGTTTTGGGCAAGTTTTGGGCATGTCTTGTTCCAGAGGGTCTCCTTGATGGCCAAGTCATGGTCATAGGCCGTAGATTTGACAGGCCTGTCACCGAATGGACATTCAGGCAGGAACCTTTACCACCTACAAGAAACAACGAACGAAAAAACGCGCAGACCTTCATGTCTCTTCCTCTTTCGTCGCCTTATTCTGGATTCTGCTCTTCGGTGAAGCGCTTTCACATTGTGTCCAGCCTGACATCTGAAAACAATATTGCAAGGCGACTCAATCTTCCCGGTTTCCGAAGGTTTCCAAGATCTGCAAAATCCTCTTGCTGTAATTTTTCGCAATTCCACTTCATATATCCTGATGTGGCATCTGTCATCTGCGTCCTTCATTTCCAGCGGTTCCGAGCTCCGAACTCGAGAGCTGCATCGCAAGCCTTGATGGCATGGCACAGATTCAGAAAGCACAGATTGCTTCGTCGCCCTGAAGAAACGTGAAGAACCTTGAGCAAAAACCGTTGGAGCGGAGCCCGCAAGCAT